CCAGCCATGGCGGCTGGCAAATTCTGGGAGTTGAAGTCCACTCATTTTAAAGTGGCCAAGTTTGGACAACACTGCTGTAGCTAATTAGTGAAGCTACCAGTTGTATAAACTATTATCTCCACAAGAGCATCTATAAACATGGCTATTGCAGTAGGGCCTATTATTTGTGCTTACACAAAAATATGGTGCTGAGTTGAAGCATTCATACAGGAGACTGCAATGGGTGGATCTGGCCCATGATTCTCCAGCTTTCAGAAGCAACACAGGAGTAAACAGACCGCACACTAGGTGTGTGAGATTCATTTGTTTAAAGAGCCCAGAATTGGTCCTATAGAACACATGAAAAATAAAGACTTGCAACAAAGTTTGGTGGGCTGGGAAAAACAGAAAATTACCCCTCAAACAGAAAAACAACCTTAAATCCAAGACCCATCCATATGAGTGATGTAGCCCTACCCATTTTGCCTTTTTGTCCTATTTACTGTATTCCTTGGTACTCTTCTTCCAAGAAAGTCAAGAGTGGCCCTAATATGTGTGCCAATTTAGACTATATGTCAAAATGCATATCATATAGGTATGTATGTGTGTGGAGAAAGAGAGAGAATATTATTAAAGAATTAAGCCTTTAGAAAATACACCTCCATTCAACACAAACTGATAGTACATACTTCCCGTATACTATAGTTACTCTGATAATATTAGGATCAAATGTTAACAAGACATTAATGCTTGCTAGATTTAGAGTTCTTGTCCAAGAACAATACACAAGAGGTGATCGTCAGAGGGAAAATCTCTGAACCGATGGCAAAGAACCCAAATGCATTCCAACCATTTAATGAATTCAGGTATAATGGACTACAGGAAATCACAACATACTTATTAGTTTCTTTTTATAGCTAGAGAGTACTGAGAAGGACAAATAAAGATAGTCAGTGATTTTTTTTTCTTTTCCCAGATATTTCTAGTGGCAAAGAGAGTGAAACTCAATCTGCAATCCTGTTCTCATAGTAGGATTAACTTTGGAGTTTCTTGCCATAGGAGCTGCAGAAACCTAAAGCCATCAGCTGCTCTTTGCAAAGATAGGAGCAGATAATTAGGTAATTTAAATATCAGCACCTGCAGAAAACCACACAAAGATACTATCTCACACTCATTAGGACCATGTGTGTCTTTCACTCTCTCTCAATTATTGTGCTATTGTGCATACATATGCATATGATGGCTGTCCTACACTAGAATTATACAACACAATGGGAGGCTACCATACATAGATAGGAATATTCTGATGAAGATTCTTAGTCATCGAGGTGGAATTAGGAGTAAGACATCCACATCCCAAAGACTCTACTAATCACATCTCCTATTGTCCATTCAACGAGCCCATCAGGTTAGTGAGAAATGCAGCCACCCTGGAAGACATTTATGGGGTCCCCCCTAACCAACTTTCT